CAGTGCGTCTGCACTCGCGTTGCTGTGCAGCACGTCTGCCTCACTCTGGCTTTTATTTTCTCTCTCGTGTCGTCTCGTGCAGGCAGCTACATCACCACCATCGGCGTGGACTTTAAGATCCGGACGGTGGATATCGACGGGGAGCGGGTGAAGCTGCAGATCTGGGACACGGCGGGGCAGGAGAGGTTTCGAACCATCACCTCAACGTAATGATCTCTGAAACTTTCTCCCCCGAGTTTCTTTGTATGACCGCGTGCAGCGCGCTGCAGCGTCATCGCTGAGGTCATCAGTTTATTCCGCTTCACCTGTCCCCAGGTACTACAGAAACACCCACGGCGTCATCATAGTTTACGACGTGACAAATCCAGAGTCGTTCGTAAATGTTAAGAGGTGGCTGAATGAAATCTCCCAGAACTGTGACAACGTCTGCAAGATCCTGGGTAGGTCGACCGTAAACTCCTCCTGAATATCAGTGTTTCAGTGTGAACTCTGACCTGCTCACAGGTGTGCCGAAAGCTGCTGAGAGGCTCCGTCTGCTTCCAGGTGACGCACGGTTTGTTAAAGATGCAGCTGCATTCATTCAGCTCCATTATTCACTTTAAGGTCCAGACTTGAAATTGAGTTTGGATATGTTTTAAAGTCCACATGCAGTCAGCTTGAACACTGGTCGAATATTTTATTTATTATGATATCATGCAGGCACATCTCTGGTGAGGAGAGCCTCTTTCCCCTCACCAACAGTTTATAAACTTCCTGATGGTGAGACGTGCCGTCCCGCTGAGTCGTCATAAACACTTTTGTAGATCTACTGTGTTTGTTAAGACAAACTGTTGTTACTGCACTCGTGTTATCAGATGATTTCTCAGGTTCAGTAAACGTGAAGTTTTACTGGTAATTTTAAACAGGAAGGTTATTGTGCAGGTCTGACTCTGGGGAGGTGAATCAGGTTTGACACTTAGAGATGCTTTGGTTCATTTCAGACCTGCAGCATCAGTTATTAATATCTTATTTGACATATCAGTAGCAGATAATTCTGCATGCTGCGTTTTTTATGATGCATTTGAGTTTCTGGTTGGGGACGTCTGCAGGAAGAGTTTACAGATGGATTTTCCTTCTTTCCTCAGTGGGGAACAAGAATGACGACCCTTCCAAGAAGCAGGTGGATACCCAGGATGCTTTGCGTTTTGGGGAGTCTGTGGGTGTCCGTGTCTTCGAGACGAGTGCCAAAGAGAACATAAATGTTGAAGAGGTGAAGCTTTAAATGATTAACATCCTGATTTAAAATGATCTTTTTGGTGTGCAGTTTGTCCCATTACAAGGTCGAAAGCCTTTGTTCCTAATGTTTTGTCTGTAAGGTTGGCATTGAAATGACAGGCAGGTAAATTAGAGCGTGGGGTCGTAGTTCTCAGTGTGACCTGAGGGGGGCAGTGTCCTTTCACTGCTGTCATCCAGGCCCAGTGTCTCATAATGATGGGGCTTCAGGTTGAATGCAGTGGTTTCCTTCATACTGGATGGTCCAGGCCTGCAGATGAAGATGCACCTCAGGTTCATCATCATCTCATTATTACACTGCAGAGGGTAGCGATGAGGAGGAGGGGTCTGTTTAGTCTCGATTTGAGCTGAAAGACGGAGACTGTGGTAACAGCAGAGATGGCGGTTCGTCCTCAATCCCGCTGATAAAAATGCTGGTAAACCACCAGCAGGGACCCTGTGACTGATCTCAGATATATTCACCATGGAAAGCTCAGACTGTTTAATAACGGAGACTAAAGTAAAGGCAGGATCAGATGTGACTGTGCTTCCTGTTGTTACTATCCATGAGTATTTGCTTTATTATTTTTAAAATGTCTTCAGTGACACGAACAGTTTCGTGCACGGTGTCGCTGCTGTTTGAGGGTCGGGGAGTGGGACACGGGGCCGCGATAGATAATCCTGAAGTCTGTGTTGTTTCTGCTGCTCTGCTCAGATGTTCATGGCCTTCACCCTCATGGTGCTCCGGGCCAAGAAGGAGAGCCAGAACAGAGTGGAGAGGGAGCGGGAGCGGGAGAAGGACACGGTGAACATCAACGCCCAGCGAGACCGAGACCGCAGGAAGAGGGGCAAGAAATGCTGCTGAGACGCCGCTTCCGCCCACAGCATTCAGCTGAGACTGAACTCGGCGCCTTCGAGGCCGTCTCTCACTGCAGATATGAATGTGTGGAGCTACAGCACAGCAGGCTGTAGCTCTCGCTGTGCCTGAGGGTCTACAGTCTGCCAGCACTGAATGCAAGTAGCAGCCAGGAGGTCACATGACCTAAAGGATCATTCTGGTGTTTATGCTTTTTTTTTTTTTTTTTTTTTCTAACCAGACTGCAGCGTGTCGTGTGTTGGACTGAAGCTAAAGAGCGACTAATGTGCAGGTTGGTTTGTGGATGCTAACCAGAAGAAACATTTCTGTGACGTTTATTCAAACGAGTGGATTCCTGAGCTCGCCTTAAATGACTCGTTTCAGTCTGAGCTGCACTGGTTTATGAGGTGGTGTGTGATCATCAGCTTAATCAGCACCTGTAAAACTCAAGTTACACCACAAAAATGAAGCTTCTATCCCGGCTTTTACAAACCTGGTTTCATCATTAAAACTGATTCTTTTTTACTCATCTCTCCAAAGACAGAAGTCAGTTCATGGTCACATGTAGCCAAAGAACTTTCCACCAACATGGCCCCGATGCTTGAGCTCTAGAGCCGGGGACCTCTGTGGTGACCATTCAAACACGGTCCACCTTTTTGGCATGAAACGTGTTTGATTGGGCACTGCGTCAGTCAATAATGCGTCCTGATTGGTGGAAAACCCGGAGATTTGGTCACATGTCGAGTCTGTGCTCCCACCACAGCTGCACAGCGCCTTAGGGAGAATCAGTTTCTATGTTAAAGTGCTCCGATTCTGCTCGTTCCCTCCATGTTTTTGGATTAAAGCGGCTTTGCATGATTACTCACTTATCTCGTGCTAGGCTTGTTTCAGACAGGCTCCATCCTGTCTGAAACAAGCCGATAGCTTCTCCCCTGTTAGGTCAGTTTTTCTCCGGTTGGCTCATCAGCAGAGGTTTTGAAAGTGGGAAAATAATGACCTTGCGACCTTTCACAATGACAGGTTCTAGTTGTGTAGGTTTCACTGAAGATCAAACTGCAGGGATTTGTTTCTATTTTGTTCTGTTACCTTCTGTGACACGTGGAAGATGAAAGCCATATCACGCTCCACGTCTTTAGTCACCAGTTGTCATGTTAGTGGAAAAAAGGGAGAAACACTGAGAAACTCTACATCTGTATTTGCAGTGAACTAAAACAAGCAAAAACAAACACCAGCATGGTCCTTTAACTTTGGTCTTAAACCACTGTTTAGATTTTTTTTCTTAATACAGAACATGTATTTAACCAGTGAAAGGGAGCTGTTTGTTCAATTGTGACATTAACGTATGTGATGAGTACAAACTGTCTGCATGCCTTATTTCAGTCTGAATGAGGCCAGTAATCCCAAAACATGTTTTAATGTAAATCTGATGCCAAGCAAATGTGTCCAAATACAATAAAAGCAATAAATTCAGTGATTCTTTGTGCAGCGATGAGACTGTATGCAATGAAATCCTAGAATTTCACTTACCTTTAGTAGAGTGACCTCACAGCAGCCATGTCTTTGGTTAGGTGATGTCATTAAAATGCCCCAAAAGGCTCCAACAGTACAAACACGGCTCAGAGGTCCAGCTCAGGTGAGGCGGAGCAGACAGTCACCTGTGGCCACGCCCCTAACAATGCAAACTTTAAACAGGTGAGTTATAAAAACATCGTCCCCTGTACAGGAGTTATTTTTTATTAGTCCTTTATTTACCCAGGTAAAAAAAATCTCATTTCCAACAGAGACCTGGCATCATCAAATACACACAGCACTATAACATTTACAACCAATACAATATCCCCATACCATGTGGAAAATATACAATAACAGATCAAATTAAGAGTACATTAAAAACAATCACACTGAGTCAAAGAGCTGTTCTCTCGTTCCTTTGAGACAGACTTAAACTCTCCCAAGGTAACCAAGTCAGATCATTTCAGTTCCTTCTGCAGATTGTTCCAGGAAGCCGGGCAGCGTGTTTAAAAGCCCTTTTCCCCAATTCTGTTCTGATTTTTGGGACAATCGATTATGACGGGGAAATTCTCTACAGAGACCAGTTTGTGTGTCAGACACTTTTATTACTGCTGTAAAGCTTTAACATGGGGACTGACTCGCTGCTGGAGTCTCTGCTGGACATTAGAGGAACTGCAGCTGTTGGTGTTTCTTTGTTGTCAGAGAGTGTGTGTTTCCACTGTTGCAGCTGCAGGCCCTTCCGCCCGTGGGTTTCAAAATAAACTCTTGTTTTCATCTCAGAGAGAACCAGGAGAGGCTGAAATGTTTGCTCTATACTTTGGGAAGAACTGCAGCTGTTAGAAAAAGGCACAGATGAAAGTGGTTTTGAAATGATTCTGTTTATTAACCAGTTTTACACATCGGTGTTCACCAAACACCTTTACATTTATCTCCAGGTGCAGCATCAAATCTGTCCATACTGATGCTTAAAGGAGTGGAAGTGCTTTTATTTTGAAAAAACAAACATGCTGCTTTCACATCATATGGAAAAATCCAGGAAATTTAAGTGAGAATTGTTCCATATTTACTCCATGAGCCCTTTTAGTAAAAATCCCTCAGAGCAAAACAAACGCTGGAATCTTCCACATATCCCGACGCACTTGAACGCAGCACAGTCATCAGTTGGATTTGGGCAGCCTGTAGACGTTGCCGGACATTATGAGCTGATGGTCCCTGACCTTCCTCTGCAGGAACGCCTCCAGCTCGTTCACGTCCATCTCCGTGACGACGGGTCCCGTAGCGACGAACATCCGCAGCATGGTGTGTATGCGTTCCAGTGTCATGGTGTCCAGGTTGGTGAGCATGGCCTGGACGTAGACCCAGAACAGCTGCAGAGACAGAGGCCCAGTGTGCTTACTGTGAGAGTTTAAGACCTAACTAGAACTAGCTGATACTTTTCAGCCTGAAGCGCTCGTTTGAGCTGCTTCCCCAGCAGAGCGGTGACGTTCCCTACGGCCCCTCCCACAAGAGGTGGGCTGCCCACAGCTGTGCCTCAGTGGCTAAGATCCCGGCTCTCAGGCGCTCTCCCATGAAAGACCTCCTTAGGAGACCCAGCCAGGGGTGAGTTACCCTCCTGGGATCATGCGGGTGCACCAAGTCGTTCACAACAATAAGCTCGTGATTTATGGAGCATGTGATCCTAAAACACCCACTGTCATTCATTATTAAGTGATTTTTATAACACGACTGAAAAGAAGCGGCACATCATCAGGTGCCAGGTTTCAAATACTTAAAGTAACTAAGTAAATAACCCTGAGACAGCGGGATGAATGAAGTGTGTACCTGCAGCTTCTCCTCCCTCTGCTCAGACTGCGTGGCGGTGTTGGAGTCCCTCTCCTCGTCGCTGTCGATCAGCATCACGCCTCTGTCCAGCTTCTCTTTCGACGAACCCTTCTCCACCACGTAGAAGTGGCCGCCCGCCTCCTCCCTCAGCACGCCCTGCTGCTGCCACAGAGCCAGCTTCCTGTGCACCAGCTCCTTCGGGGCGCCCAGCTTCGCACTCAGCTCCTCCAACGTCCAAGAACCTGAGAGGACGAGCAGGTACACGACGATCAAACTGCATCTCCCTCGACTCCACGCAGCGTAACGAGCGATGTCAGAGCCGATAGTTTACAACCATGACATCGCCATGTCAGGAAAACATCAGGGGTCATCGCAGAATTACATTTCACAGCATGAAAGCGCTCTGAAATGAAAGTCCTTACTTTTCTCTTGGAAGTACATGATGGTGGCAGCCTGGATGGGTGAGACCGTGAGGTTGGTGAGGACTCGGTCCTCCAGCTCCACGTCCACAGTGACCGAGCCCAGGTGAGGCTTCCAGCTCAGCGTCCTCATGGCCTGAAACACAAACGGGACTCGACTCAGCAGGTAAAAGCGTAGCTGTGCATTTGGTTTCTACTGCAAACCAAACCAGAGACGCCACAGTGGGCCAACTCCACCTTCAGCTTCTCGTAGCGGTGGGTGTAGGCCTCCATGGCCTGGCAGACGACAGGAGGGAGCTCCAGCTTCTCCTCCTTCAGCGTGGGCCAGAACTCAGATGAGAGGATGATGGCCGACAGGGGCAGCGGCGGCTGCTCCTCCTCGCTCAGCTTTGACTCCTCCTCACGGATGTTGCTGTTGATCCTGCGAGAATCCGCCATGTCCTGCATCCATCGGGTAATCACAACGTTCTCAGAAATTCATCCTTTCAGGGAATGTCCTAAAATATCCGGTTAACGATCCATATTCCAGATGTTTACCTTCAACATGACCTCGCAGTAATGCATGTGAGACTCGCCGAACCGCAGCTTCAGCAGCTCCACGTTACGAATCTCCCTGAAGACGCAGAAAGCAGGACGGGCGTGAGCGTTTACTTTGCTATCAGTGACCCGACATGTTCAAAGTACCAACACTTTCTCTCAGCTTTAAGCCGGGCGCTGGTGCGGTCGTACCTGGCCGTGTTGTAGTTGAGCTGCTGCAGCAGCCTGTCGGCGAGCACGCCTCTGTACTCGTCTATGAAGATCTCCTTACTGCCGTAGATGCTGACCAGCAGGCTGATGATGTCGGACGAGCGGCGCTTCGAGCCCATTTTATCTGAGAACAAACACACGAGTAAGATCTTTCTCTTCAGCTGCGGTCTCCTTCTCTGCGCTCAGCGCGGTGCGTTCACTGACCGGGCATGGCGTCGGTCGGGTCTGGAGTCCAGTCCTCGGGGTCGTTGCCTTCTTCGTCGCTGTCCTGCATCTCCAGAGTCACCGGGTCGCCTCGGGACAGCTCGGAGGCGAGGTCGGTGCAGCCCTCTGCATCTCCGGTCAGACCGGCTACGATCTGCCTCACCGTGTCCTCCCGGGTCCTGAAACACAACACGGACGTTTGACCCTCTGCTAGGACGTCAAATGTTAAACTCATGTAGAACTTTACTCACAAAAAAGTGCACGATCAGAGCCAAAAGATCAGAGCAGGACTGAAAGCGAATCCCGCCGGCGCCTGCGTGGACTCACCTGAGGTACTTGCGGATCGGCTGGGAGACGACCTGCAGGATGACCATGGACGGGTCGAGCTCTCGGAGCGCTTTGATGGCCGAGATGTAAACGGTGAGGATGTCCGACGTGTGAACGCCTGCAGACAGATCAGTCAGTTTCACAGACGTTACCATAGAGACCAGCTTCCCTACACGATGATGAGGATGACCTGAGAAATCACACGTGTGCACGGCGAGCTGAAAAACAACTTCAAAATAAGCAAATCAACAAATGCTGTTTTTAAACAGCTGCATCAGCTCTATGGTCCGCCTCCACCTCCTCCTTCACCACCTCACTGAACCTCCTCTGGGCTCTTTTCCTCCTCCACCTTCACCTCATTGTTGTTTTCTTCTCTAATCCTGACTTTAAACATTGAATCGCGTTTAACTTAAACAAATCTGCCACCGCGACTCATCAGGTCACAAAAATGAACCCCGACAGAAACCGACCCGGGTGCAGTAGGCGGCTTTCGAAGGCAGATTTGAGCGAGGTGAGGAGCTGCTGTCTCTGATTGGTTCTCTCCAGGCAGAACTTCAGATCCTCAATAGCAGCTTTGGATTCTGGGAAATCTGAAAGGAAGCACAAGAGCCAAGAAGAGTGTGAAATCTGGTTTACAGAGAGAGAGAATTATTATTGTAGTTTTTTGACTGTGGCTCTGTTACAAACAGAAACTGATTAAATGACAGAAAAACTAAAAACTAGAAGTTTTTCTGTGTTTTAAATGTTTATCTGCTACTTTATTACTTTGTCGTAGCACGAATGACCACCGGGGAGCTCTTTCTACAAACTTCATGCTCTTCTTTATTTTTTTCGAATCCTTTCAGTGGGCCAGAGTGGATTCTTTCCCGGGGCGATTCTGTCCACAGGCCTTATGTTTGACCACCCTGTTCTATAGCGGTGGCTAGCTGAAACGCTCCGTCGTCCTGACTCGAGCTGAGCTCTAAGCGATGAGAGGAAACACTGCCGTAGAGGAAACGAGAGCTCCGCGGCAAAGAAAAGACTTAAAGAATCAGCAGGCGTCAGCGTCCAATCACAGCTCAGAGGTCGGAGTTCAGCCTGGCGTGGATCTGTAAACCTGCCGCAGACTCCCACCTCTGATGATGCTGAAGAGCTCCTCGATCCTCATGTTGACATAGATCCTGCAGAAGAACTGATGCATGTGGCACCTCCACTGCTTCAGCACCGAGCCGCCGCCCGGGACCACCTGGACGCCGAGACCGCCGGGGGCCGCTGGGAGTGAAGCGGCGTCTCCGTCCGCCTCACTGGCAAACACTTTAGCCAGCCAGCCCAGCACCAGCTCCAACCACTGCTCCCTCACACACACACACACACACACACACACACACACACACACACACACACACACACACACAGTAAATGAGGAGCAGGCCACAGTGAGTTTCAGCGTGGACAGATGCTGCAG